GGACAATTTTGACAGAATTTAAACATGTTTCTGTTTCTGTAAATGAAGAGGCGTCTGTTTGGATTCTCTACTGAGAAACTTCTGTGCGAGCGTGACAGCGGAGAACCAGATGTCCGGCTGCGAACACACACACTCTCACACAACCATCTATCTCTCATCTCCTTGTTTCTCTGTGGTGTATACAGATACACACATCTGTCAGCTCCATTAAGACAAATGAACCTGCTCACTGACATGATGAATCAAAAACATCTCGCAAATAATAAAATCCAGCGTGTGTGTGTGAAACGGATCGCGTACACTTTTCAGCAGTGTGTGTGCATTCGCTGTGGGGTCCGAGCTGTCAGATGGAGAAATGGGAGCCAAAGGAGAAATCTGGGTGGGTAACGTGTGTTATTGGGAATAATGAAGACCGAGATTGAGAGCTAAACTGAAGTGACAGAAGGAGAAAAAGAGAAAGAGATTAATTCTCAAAAGTGTTTGTATTTGTTTACTCTGATGACATTACAGAACATTCCACATGGCTGAGTTTGCTGAGTGAACTCGATGCGTTTTCACTCCTAACTATCCTGCATACAAGCACAAACTCATACACTGTTCACTGCTACTTCAAAATTACATTCTATACAGTGGCATACTGCTTCAAATCCTTACCAGAGGAACATTTTATTGCAATACAATGTTGCTCTTTTATAGATTAGGAGAAATACATAAATAAAAATAGACATATTGAGTCAATAGTCGACATACAGAGTATAGGTAGGTAGGTATAGCATATAAAAAATAATGTGCAAGCAGCTCTTTGGTGTTGGAAGAATTTGATCAGAAATGTTTGAGTTCATATTGAGATCTCTGATTTTTGATTGGCATCTTGTTAAATCTGAGCACAGTTTGAGACATTGTTGAGATCCTGTCTGAAACTCTACAGAAAAAGTGATAATTAAGAAGTATTTCTCAGGGGGAAACAAGTTTGTGGTTATCGTTGACCAAAACAAACAATAATTACCTTTTTTTTAGAAAGAAATTAATGACTGAGGAGGCAAATTTAATGTAAAAGCAGTTAAGAATCTATTGTATATTAATAACCAATTCATCACTGAAAAAAAAAATCTGGTGTAGAAACAATTTTCACTCAATTTTCAAAATTGCTAGAAAATTTCTCAAACAATTACAAATAAATGTCAAGTAACACATTGAATTAAACATATTTAATCTGAAAAACTGAAATAGTATTCTCTTGTAAAACACACTCCAGCAGTGTTTTATTTACAAATTCAAAAACAATTTTATTGTGACGCAACATTTGAAAAGGAACAAAGTCATGAAGATGCTTAAAATAAAATGTGACACATTATATGAGAAAAATAAAAGTGAACTCATTTTATTATCGGTCTATTATCATTGGTCTATAATTCTTTTCTAAGCAGTTAGCATTTAACTAGTCTCACTAGCTCACAGTCTGTTTACTGACCATCTGTTGAAAATCATACACAAAACCGGAAAGCACTTCTTGATCTGGAAAGCTCTAACTTCACTTTAGCTGGCTTCTGGGAGTAAGAGCACACAGGTTTCGTTTATAAGTCCTCCTGGAAACTAAGTTATGTTTTCAAGGTTTTGAGGATGAAATAATCACTGAATAGGTAAGATTTTCCAGGTTGGCAGCATCAGATCTTTTTTTGACTGAGGCACTCAGTAGGAACATTCAAATGTAAATGAGCAAAGCTGTATATTCAGTATCTGTGAAATAATCAGTACATATAACTTTTTGGAGTCAATAAACTTTCTTTTTGTTTTGAGGTTTTTGTTTTCTGCTGTGCAATTACTTGAATTAATTTCTCCATAATGATACTGTGGTATTCTATATTGCATATAAACTTGCCCCTAAACAAATGTCCTCTCAGTCAGCTGGTTTCTTTCTGTCTAAGTGGGCGGTTCTTGTCCAAAATAATCTGTACAATGTGCACCAGACTTTACATCAAACACCTTGTTGCACAAAACTAGTATTTAACTTTATGTAAGAATCGGACCCCCTCTCTGCGGGCTCTAGTGTCCCTTCTGCCCCGCTCTGACCCTGGATAAGGTGTTTCTCATTATTGCACAACTAGGATGTTCATTAGTGGAGGCTGTAATAAATTATCCAGCGGTGGACTGCCCTGTGGTGACTGCGGCCCATAATTCTTACTAACACCACGGCGCTCCTGTGTCCCGTGTGATCGCCTGACACTCATGTACTGCCCCGTTTCCATGCACACAGAGTCACGAAACCTACACTCGCTATGTAGTCGCTTCATCAAAATTAAATGGATGCTAAAAATACACCTGAGCAATTTAAAGACCAGCAGTATACATGGAAAGTTCTGATCTACTGGGTCAAAGATGGATGAAAAATAATGGATAAATAAACTAAAATGCAACTAATCATATATTTGAGCATAGTTAGGATTGCAAAATAAATTATTACCTTTTCAAAAAGGAGAAAAAAAATAATAAAATAATAAAACGCAATTCAGACTTTTTACCTGCAATTATGAGTTTATGTCACACAGTTCAGACTTTTTCTCCAATTGCGAGATATAAACTCACAGTTCTTACTTTCTTTCTCACAATTCCGAGTTTACACCTTGCAATCCTAGATTTTTCTCTCAGAATTGAGTTTACATCTTCACAGTTCTGCTTTTTTTTTTTGTTTCCACCATGTACTAATAAAAAAAGAGGTAACTGCAACTTTAACTCACAATGAGATTGATTTTATATCTTGTCGTTCTAAGTTTATATCTTGCAGTTCAGACCTTTTTCTCAAGACTGTGAGAAAAAAGTCAGAATTCTGAGATATGAACTGAGAATTAAAAAAAAAAAGTGTCAGAACTGAGATAAAAAGTGATAAAAAGACCCTTTTTCATTTTATTTTTTTTAATTCTGTAGCAGAAACATGTTTTCATAGAAAACACTTCTTGTCTTTTGTTGTCAGGGTCAAATGTGTCTAATAAAACTCTTTTTATTTATTTTATAATATTATTTATTAATAATACTTAAAACAACAATTCATTTTAAAACATTAACTATTTTAAGTATTTATATTTTATTTAGTGACATTTTATATTTTTATATTTAAAACTTTATTAAAAGAAATAATAAAGTAATTTATATATACAAATAAAATCATGTATTCATTTCTGATTTTAAAGACATTTTGTTTTTCTTTTGTATGACAAAAAAAAAAAATTAAAATTAAAATCTGGTTCCTGCAAAAGTGAGAACTCCTATAAGATCCAGCATTAAAGTAAACAGTGACTAGGTGGAAACTCCATCGCGGGTGAGCAATTCTCCAAAAATTGACAGTTTGGAAGTGATTAAACGGTATTACAGCTTTCAGCAGAGAGTAAAACTGAAAAGGGCTAGACGCTTGCATTAGTGTCTCTTAAAGGAGGTGTGATTCAGACACTTGAGCGTTAAGTGCCAGCACACCCAATCTATCACAGCAACAAGAAAACGCAGCACATTAAAGACATTTCATCATGAATACATGGCAGGTCATACACTAAAGAGACCCACATATGATAATACCGGGGATCCACAAAACTCCATCAAACTCTATTTAGCAGCATCACCATAAAGCACATCACGTGCCCTGTGAAAAAATACCATATGCTGTGCATCTTAAAAAAAAAAAAAGAGCACACCAATGACTCTTTCATATTTAATCTTTCAACATGACATAACAAATAACCCGAGAGAAATTCCACAGTCTACCCTGCTGCCTTAGTCACATAAAACCATGCCAACAGACGAATAAATTAATAATTTTGATCCAAGGATTACAGTATACCAGGGAGTAGCCTGCAGTCTATTTGGAAGTGTTTGCAATCTGATACTGAAATGCAATGTTACCTGCTCAACAAACGTGCCAACCAACTCAGCCAGATGGGTGGGATATAGGTATAGGATGCTACATATGGGACTGTTTCTGCGTAAAAATCTCGCACATTCCGATCCAAATCTTTTAAAAAGACATTTACAAGAGGAGACAGCAGTGCTGTGGTGTGCATTTGTTCCAGCAGAGAACAGATGGGGAGAAAAACAATGCACCTGAACCAGAACTGAGATCAAATTTATAGAACTGAGAATTTATTGCATACATAGCATACAAGACTTCTTAGCAAGATATAAGACTTAAAGAACCACAAATGGCCATAATAAGACCCCAGAGTGGAGAAAACAGTCCCGGGATTCTCTTCTAACTGTATCCAGATTTCATCCCTTCCAGACAGGAAAACAGCTCTTTCAGGAGCACACTTACTGTCAGCCTCATAATCAATCATCAGCTCAGTCAGCTGGGAAAAGCTTGTCAAATAAGCAAAGGAATACACTTAATGAAGTATTCTGAGGTACATTTTCAACCTGTTTGTACGAGATTGAGGAAAGCCAAGCAGTTAAGCAGCTTTTATTTTCCTTTCATTTTTGGGGATCAACCACCTTTCAACAGATCCAACAATAACTGATGCATATTTATACGGCTTTATAAAGGAAAAGGACATTTTAAAGGAATCTTGGTTAACAATAAGAATCGAAGACCAAGAACTCGTGCTATTTTAAAAGACAACAATATTTAATAAATAGGTTACGCGTTGTATTTAATAAAGTTTAATTCAACATTTTTAATTGAATCGCATATTCTGTGACAAACAAATTATTTCTGATTATTTTAAGGGCAGCAGCACTTAAAGCAATTACGTTATATCACTTATTATTAGCTACAAGTTAACATATATACATTTTTTTAATCGAAAATAAATCTGACGTGAGAAAATGACATGCATTTTTTCTATTTAGCACCACAATAAGAAAGGTTCTGCCAAAATAAATAGCCTATATAATCTATACACAAATTATTAACATATAAATGAATTAGGCTATGCTAAAAAACTTTAGACCAATGCCTTACTGCAACATGATTCAAATTAAATACCTATCTAAAGACATAAAGAAATATACAATCCTACCTTTTCGGTCCTGATCGAGCTCTCCTGTCATGGACTTGAGTGAAATTAATTAAGACACGGACAAGTGAAAATAATCCACAGATAATGAAAATGTTTTCCTTAAAATGTTTCCTTTCGACCTCTCCCTGTAGTGATGATGCATAATTCTGAACATCCACGTTTTTCACATAAACTTGTGTCTCGGGTTGTGTTGACTGACCCAGACGCGTCAGGTCCAGGACAGCTCGCGCGCGGTACTTCCTCAGGACACGCTCTCCACTCTAAACTCAGGAGTCCGTGCCAAAATCAAGTCCCATAAACACGAGAGTTTTGAACCCCTGGGGTGTCAAATTCCAGCCCCTATCACATGATACGTTACAAGCGAGCGACGCGACGCGACAAACTCCAGCGCTCCCATGGTAATCCAAGACGCAAGTGAGCGCGGCGCTCCGCTTATTATAATGAGAGCCTTCTGATTGGTCGATTGGGTGCCTACGTCACTCGCGTCGCTTATTGTAATGAGTTCTAGACCGTCGCGTGACGCGTCACCAGCAGCGTAGCTGGAGTGCAAGAAGATCAGGTAACGCGCTCACCTGGCCGAGACACTGGAGTCATTTAGCTCTATTCTATTCGGTTCACTTGATAATACGCCTAAGTAGAAGGGAATGTGAGTGGCTGTCATAAAGTTTTCCCAGTGTCTTGCTGTGCATTTGCTGTGCATTTGAGTGTTTAAACGTTGCTATGCAGCTGCTGGAGTTACTTACCTTGGTTGCTAGATAAAGTCAAAAACAGGCAACTCACAATTTAGATAGGCTATTAAATCCTGGTCTCTAGATACTCTATTTCTTATTTTTGCAAGCCTATGTCATTATGTGCCACATTTGAATAATTAGGCTTAGAGATTTTGTTCAAATCACTCATCAAATGTGCACCAAATATGTGCAATAGCCTGCTCTTGTAGCTCAAACATGCTTGACAAAGATTTTAATATTTTTGGGGCAATGCAAAATCTTTGCTGATTTTTATTCAAATGTATTATAGGTTCACATAAGTTATATAGACAACAATTTTTAAATGCTTTTTAAAATAGGCCAACGTTTATATTTTTTTTAAAAGGCCAATTTATAAAAAGGCCAAAAATATATTGGTAGAAAATATGTAAATATATTTTAAAACATATTTTAGAAAATATTTCTTTTGGATATATATATAATAGTAATTACTATAATTAAGTAATTAGTTATAGTTTTTAATAGGCCTATAAGGATTAAGATTGCATAAAGCTCTCAGGTTTCACATCCGTTCATTTTCAACAAATAAATCAAGTATATTTCAATTTGGCACATTGTCAAAGTTATGCAGCAAGGACAACGAAAATGAAAGAGAAAATTAAAATCAGTGACATATGAAATAAACACTAATGAGACATTCTGATTTAAAGGGCAAATACCAAAGCTTTCTGGCTCAATCAGAAACTGCACTCTTATCTGTGATTGTGTCACTTCACGGCTCTAATAGAAATCAGCGTGCTTGATATCAACACCAGATTTCAGACTAATAGAATAACTGACAGGTAAGCAAACAACACACTTTCCCACAATGATTTCTGAACGGCTGAGTTTATCAAGATTGGCTGCAGCTCAAGCACTTCTGCGCTGCTCTCAGACGGAGTGTGTGTGTGTGTGTGTGTGTGTGTGCGTGCCCATGCCATCTGAATCAGACAGAGAAAGAGGATTAAAATACCTTCCTCGGGTGAAGCTTGACCTGAAGTCTCGCTGGTCCTGATGGAAAACCTCTGTCAGGGTGTAAATGAGGTTCTGTGGCTTAGTGGTTAAAGATGTGGGCTAATCCAAAGGTTGCAGGTTCAAATCTGATTCATAAACTGCTGTAACTGGCAATGCATTGCTTTGGATAACAACGCCTCTGCTTTATGAATAATTAGAATAAGATGAATGATGTCTGCCCATGCAAAATCACCATCATGACGGCCAGGTGATCCTATGTGCTTGCTAGGAAGTTGATGAAAATCATTACAATGAGTCACACATATATTAGCTGTATCCTGAAACAATTTTTACCAGAAGTCCAAACATCGGCAACAGTTTCAAACTAAGAGGAGACGGTCAGGAGCCTATAGACACAATACAGACACACAGAGTCCTGAGCTGTATGACACTCAGTAGGGATTCTTGTTTTTCACTCAAACACACACACACACACACACACACACCCTCAGCTTAAAGCAAACAAGAAAGAGCCCATCTGCTCTGTCTAAAGCGACAAACCCTGCCTTCACACACACACACACCCTCAGCTTAAAGCAAACAAGAAAGAGCCCATCTGCTCTGTCTAAAGCGACAAACCCTGCCTTCACACACACACACACCCTCAGCTTAAAGCAAACAAGAAAGAGCCCATCTGCTCTGTCTAAAGCGACAAACCCTGCCTTCACACACACACACACCCTCAGCTTAAAGCAAACAAGAAAGAGCCCATCTGCTCTGTCTAAAGCGACAAACCCTGCCTTCACACACACACACACCCTCAGCTTAAAGCAAACAAGAAAGAGCCCATCTGCTCTGTCTAAAGCGACAAACCCTGCCTTCACACACACACACACCCTCAGCTTAAAGCAAACAAGAAAGAGCCCATCTGCTCTGTCTAAAGCGACAAACCCTGCCTTCACACACACACACACCCTCAGCTTAAAGCAAACAAGAAAGAGCCCATCTGCTCTGTCTAAAGCGACAAACCCTGCCTTCACACACACACACACCCTCAGCTTAAAGCAAACAAGAAAGAGCCCATCTGCTCTGTCTAAAGCGACAAACCCTGCCTTCACACACACACACACCCTCAGCTTAAAGCAAACAAGAAAGAGCCCATCTGCTCTGTCTAAAGCGACAAACCCTGCCTTCACACACACACACACCCTCAGCTTAAAGCAAACAAGAAAGAGCCCATCTGCTCTGTCTAAAGCGACAAACCCTGCCTTCACACACACACACACCCTCAGCTTAAAGCAAACAAGAAAGAGCCCATCTGCTCTGTCTAAAGCGACAAACCCTGCCTTCACACACACACACACCCTCAGCTTAAAGCAAACAAGAAAGAGCCCATCTGCTCTGTCTAAAGCGACAAACCCTGCCTTCACACACACACACACCCTCAGCTTAAAGCAAACAAGAAAGAGCCCATCTGCTCTGTCTAAAGCGACAAACCCTGCCTTCACACACACACACACCCTCAGCTTAAAGCAAACAAGAAAGAGCCCATCTGCTCTGTCTAAAGCGACAAACCCTGCCTTCACACACACACACACCCTCAGCTTAAAGCAAACAAGAAAGAGCCCATCTGCTCTGTCTAAAGCGACAAACCCTGCCTTCACACACACACACACCCTCAGCTTAAAGCAAACAAGAAAGAGCCCATCTGCTCTGTCTAAAGCGACAAACCCTGCCTTCACACACACACACACCCTCAGCTTAAAGCAAACAAGAAAGAGCCCATCTGCTCTGTCTAAAGCGACAAACCCTGCCTTCACACACACACACACCCTCAGCTTAAAGCAAACAAGAAAGAGCCCATCTGCTCTGTCTAAAGCGACAAACCCTGCCTTCACACACACACACACCCTCAGCTTAAAGCAAACAAGAAAGAGCCCATCTGCTCTGTCTAAAGCGACAAACCCTGCCTTCACACACACACACACCCTCAGCTTAAAGCAAACAAGAAAGAGCCCATCTGCTCTGTCTAAAGCGACAAACCCTGCCTTCACACACACACACACCCTCAGCTTAAAGCAAACAAGAAAGAGCCCATCTGCTCTGTCTAAAGCGACAAACCCTGCCTTCACACACACACACACCCTCAGCTTAAAGCAAACAAGAAAGAGCCCATCTGCTCTGTCTAAAGCGACAAACCCTGCCTTCACACACACACACACCCTCAGCTTAAAGCAAACAAGAAAGAGCCCATCTGCTCTGACTAAAGCGACAAACCCTGCCTTCACACACACACACACACACACTGCATTATATCTGAACTTTTGTTATCGTTACAAAGCATGTGCAATAGGTATTTTTTTTCACTGTGAATATTGTGTAAATTGTCATTCAACAATTTAATTTATTACATTTACTCATGTTTACTTTCTAATTTTGTTGGTTTATTGTAACATTATATTGTGTATATTGTGTAAATTGTATAGGCCCTATATTAAATGGTATAACAGTATAATATATTATTTATAATAGTATATCTTTCTAATACTCTGCACTTTATTGTGATATCCCCCCAAAATAAAATAAAATAATAAAATAAATAAAATTATAAATAAAATAAAATATTTTTGGACTCCCTTAAGACACATAAAAAAATATCCATAATCAAACATTTTAAATTAAAAAATAAGATAAAACGAAATAAAAATAAAATAACATATTTTGACACCCTCCTAGTTTACTAGTCACCCTAGAAATAATCAAAAAATGTAAAATAAAAGAATATGTTTTTGCATTGGTCACCCTTGAAACGTCTATAATAAAACTTAATAATTTAATAAATTCAATTAAAATGAAATCAAACCTTTTTCATTAGTCCAATTAAAAAAATGTCAGAAAATGCCAGAAAATGTCAAACCACGTTGCAGGATCTTTTCTCTTCACCAACTTCACTTACCATTTTGCTCTTTTAATCAACTGTTTATGAATTTTTTTTAGGAGTGAATGAAGTCAGTTCTCCTCAAGTTCTTACAGGTGTAGAGAATCACATTAACTATGGATAATTGCGAAGTGTCCCAATATATCCTAATCTACATGTTAAACTGTACTGTTTTTATTCATTTCAGCTAATAAACTTCTCTTCGAGAAATGTTTTGCAGGGATAGATATGTGCTATTATTCATTTACACAAAAGCAACTTGGTTTGATATTGACTCAAAGACATTTATACTTTGTTAATTCAGTGATAATCTAATGAAGAGCACGGCGCAGTAACTCAAGTGGCTTTGAATGAAAAGCAGCTGCTGGCTGGTTTCACACTGCATGTTCCCGAGCGCTGTCTCTGACAATAAAGCAGACCGTGAAAGCGGACTAA